AACATTACATTATCGTCATGACCGCATCAGTTCTTTCTCTACTCATTACGGGAAGTTTATTTTCTTTCTTTCCACTTTTTCAAACGCAATTCTACAAGCCACCACATTTCTTTTGTGAATTCATTAAAAGTCGTTCAATGTCTGATACTATAGACTTTGTGTTTCATAATACGCAGTGCCGACGAGACGCGTGAAGTCAGACATGTCTACGCTAAAGGGGTACACTATTGTCCCTAACAAAGAAATGCAGAACTCCGGTGATGCTACATTTCATCATTGTGTGAACGACTTCCAAGAAATGAAAACTCAATGCAGTATATGAATATATGATGCAGTCCGAGAAAATTATTTTTTACCGAATTTTTTTTTATAATTCATGTAATTTCTAGTGTATGAATATATGATGTATATCTAAAATCAATGCAGTATATGAATATACGTTGTATACATTTATATCATTACCACGAGTCTAGTAAATGATTATATGAATTTTTATCAAGTACTGACTACTATTTTAGTGTATCTTATAGTTCTTGAATATTTAAATCTATTAATTGCGTTTAACAAACTCAAACTAACATTATCCCTCCAAATCTCTACCACTTTAAATAATTAATCCCACTACTATATATTACAATAACACTATTAATTTATACTAGTAATTCACCCGCGCGATGCACGGGAAAAAAATTATGTTATTATAAATATAAATAAAAATAGAAAAATTAAAATATTTTAAATTATTTAATATAATAATATTTTTGAGAAGTATTTATTATTTTTATAGAATACAAAATTACAATTAAAATTAAAATTAATATTAAAATTATAATTTTGTATGGTTAATATAATCTCTAATAATTATGTGCATATTCAAATAAACTTATAGAGAGAATTTACATAATTACATTGATTTATTTTTAATTGTATTTCATCTATATTATAATTTTCACAATACAAATAATAACTAAGATAATTACATTTAGAAAGCAAATTTCAAATTTTGTATGTGTAAATTTAAACTCTAATTGAACACATTTTTTTATATGATTATATAATATATAGCTTTTTTATTTTTCAAAAGTATATTTTTTATATTTTTTTGAAACCAAAAGTATATTTTTTATATGATTATATAATATATAGCTATTTTATTTTTTAAATGTTGTGCTTTTTTTTTTTTTTTTGTATAATAAAGGATGTCTAATTATGTGCATATTCAAATAAACTTATAGAGAGAATTTACATAATTACATTGATTTATTTTTAATTGTATTTCATCTATATTATAATTTTCACAATACAAATAATAACTAAGATAATTACATTTGGAAAGCAAATTTCAAATTTAAATGTTGTGCTTTTTTTTTTTTTTAATAATAAAGTATGTTGTGGCATTAATTGTAATATTAATTATTTCTCAAACCATATAGCTTTATTATATAAAGGATTATTTATATTGCACTGTTAAAACTACTAAATCAGAAATAAAATTATCGAAAACGCAAATCTGGCTTGCGTTTTCACGGCTAGATGTGGCGGAAGGGCTGACACATGTACCTGGGTTGAGATGGATGGGCTGGCTGACATAAATAAAAATAGACTTACTTATCGAAAACGCAAGTATGGCTTGCGTTTTCAACGCTAGATGTGACGGATGGGGTGACAAACGTACCTGGGCTGTCATCACGTGATAGATGGGTTGGATGTCATAAGAAAAACGCAACCCGGACTTGCATTTTATGCAAGAACGCATTACCCAATTGCGTTTTGCAGGTCCGGACGGGTTGACTGATGGGCTGGGCTGACTGATGGGACTGATGGGGTGAGGCTAAGAAAAACGCATCCCAGTCTTGCGTTCTAAGCAAGACCGCATTACACACTTGCGTTTTGACTGTCTATGTTGATATTTTGTTATAATAATAAAATAAAACCATAACTTCTCTCGATATATATATCCAATGCCGCTCGCGGATTCACATTCAAAGCCGATATTTGTTTGCTTGACGGCATTACTTCTTTTTTCTATTGTGTATGAGATGGGAAGTTTGTTTTCTTTTTACCAACTCTCTCATGCCCAATATTTCATGCCAACATTTTTTTCAAATTGACTCCAAACTCAAATGAATTTCAACTAAATTTCGCGATTTTGGTTTTCGATTAAGGGGCTTGTTCATATTTGCCGCCGTAGATCTCTACTCAAAGGAAGTTGAATGTCTTCACTTACAGACTTCGTATTTCCTTTACAAGCCATCTACGATACAGCGTGCCTAGATAGCAATGACGGTTGATGATGTACTACGCAAATAAGTAGTACACCATAGCAACTTAGACTTGCGTCTGGACAATGGAGCAAGCCCTCCAAAACTCCAAAGAGGCCACCGTCCACAACTGTGTTAACGACTACTTGGGATTGCAATGGAGAAATTAGAATTCAGTCCATGTACTTTTCACTGTATAAATATATGATGAATATCAAAGTTGTGTCATTAGCATACGAGCATTTGTATTTTTATGCGGTTACATCACACGTCTTTTACATTTTTTCGCAATTATATTTGTCGTCATACTCAATCTCCTTGGTTCGCATACACCTACACAGCTACGTCACCATTTCCAATACTAAAAACCTAGATTCAAACTAATAATCATTCCTTAAACTATTTAGCTAAATGAATTATGAAAAAATATTTATTGCCTTAGACTACACTAAAATTATAGTAAACTACTACATCCTTACAATTTTTGGAAATTAGTATTTACAATGTTCAACTTACCTTCACTAAAAAGACACATTAAACTACTAAATCCTTACAATTTTTTAACATCGGTATTTATAGTGCTCATCTAACCAATTTACTTACCTTCACTAAAAAGACACATTAAACTACTAAATCCTTACAATTTTTTAACATCGATATTTATAGTGCTCATCTAACCAATTAAAATTACAAAAAAACGAATATCAATGTTCACACGTCTTTTACATTTTTTCGCAATTATATTTGTCGTCATACTCAATCTCCTTGGTTCGCATACACCTACACAGCTACGTCACCATTTCCAATACTAAAAACCTAGATTCAAACTAATAATCATTCCTTAAACTATTTAGCTAAATGAATTATGAAAAAATATTTATTGCCTTAGACTACACTAAAATTATAGTAAACTACTACATCCTTACAATTTTTGGAAATTAGTATTTACAATGTTCAACTTACCTTCACTAAAAAGACACATTAAACTACTAAATCCTTACAATTTTTTAACATCGGTATTTATAGTGCTCATCTAACCAATTTACTTACCTTCACTAAAAAGACACATTAAACTACTAAATCCTTACAATTTTTTAACATCGGTATTTATAGTGCTCATCTAACCAATTAAAATTACAAAAAAACGAATATCAATGTTCACACGTCTTTTACATTTTTTCGCAATTATATTTGTCGTCATACTCAATCTCCTTGGTTCGCATACACCTACACAGCTACGTCACCATTTCCAATACTAAAAACCTAGATTCAAACTAATAATCATTCCTTAAACTATTTAGCTAAATGAATTATGAAAAAATATTTATTGCCTTAGACTACACTAAAATTATAGTAAACTACTACATCCTTACAATTTTTGGAAATTAGTATTTACAATGTTCAACTTACCTTCACTAAAAAGACACATTAAACTACTAAATCCTTACAATTTTTTAACATCGGTATTTATAGTGCTCATCTAACCAATTTACTTACCTTCACTAAAAAGACACATTAAACTACTAAATCCTTACAATTTTTTAACATCGGTATTTATAGTGCTCATCTAACCAATTAAAATTACAAAAAAACGAATATCAATGTTCAACGCATATGAGAGGATTTGAACCCTAGCCAACTATATATTGAAACGCATCATCACCCAACTAAGCTAAAACATCTTCTATTAACATTTGCTCATTTTTTAATACTTATACTAAAACTACATAAAGCCAAATATCAATGTTCAATGCATATGAGAGGATTCAAACCCTAGCTAACCACATATTGAAACGCATGATCACCCAACTAAGCTAACACATCTCCTATTAACATTTGCTCATTTTTTAATACTTATACTAAAACTACATAAAGCCAAATATCAATGTTCAACGCATATGAGAAGATTCAAACCCTAACCAACCACATATTGATACACATGAACACCCAACTAAGCTAACACATCTCCTATTAACATTTGCTCATTTTTTAGTACTTATACTAAAACTAGTACAATAAAATTGATCACAATAGACTACGCATCTGCCGGTTGCGTTTTAGGTTGCATTCGCATTCATGCATGGAGCCGGCCGGAAACCGATCGGACAAATACAAAACGCAACTGGCATTTGCGTTTTATGCTTTATACGTAAAACGCAAATGCATGTTGCGTTTTTTAGTATTCGCACGTCGCCGGAACCCGCCGGTGTACAAAACCAATAAACGCATCTGCCATTTGCATTTTACGTATACTACGTAAAACGCAAATGCCAGTTGCGTTTTTCCCTATACCGTATCTCAACCTAAAATGCGTTTACCAAATGTGTTCTACGTATACGATTCCGTAAACCCAAGTCCTTGCGTTTTACGTAAATACGAAAAAAAAAACAAAAATTGTCGGGACACATGCAAAAACGCAATTCCCAACTTAGTTTTACACATTTTTGTCAAAAAATAATAATAATAATCAGCAAACATTTTTGAGAAATAGAGGGTGGTCAATACACATTTTAGTCATTGATCCATTTTTCAAATACATTCAAATGCTGAAAACCTGGGAAATGATTTTCTGATTACTGATTCCTACCTCTTTAACTGTATTCTATGTTTAGGTAAGTTGTTTGAACTTCTTTTTCATAACATTTTGTTACATATTATTCATTCTTTTGTAGGTTGCCATTAAAAAAAAAAAAAAAAAAAAAAAAAAAAAAAAAAAAAACATGAGACATGTAAATTTAGGAGTGAAAAAACATTATACACAATGACACAAATCAATCCAAATTACTACAATGATGACATTTGACCCAATAAAACCAAATACAAGCAAAAGCAGGACATCAAGAAAGTTAAAAAGAAAAGAAAAAAAGGCACCACATCAGACTCCATGATTACACACTAAGTTGAACAATCACACTTAATACATAAAAACAAAGTAACCTGGGTGAAGTCATTCGACTTGTTGATTGATTTTGTTAACGAGAGTTCTTTCTTCTCCCCTTACCTCTCTGAAAGAAAACCTTCAACAGTACTCCATCAATCTTCTTGTTATAATATAATCTCCATTTGTTGGACAACAAAAGTGGCAAAAATATTCCTCCTAGACCCACAACAAATCCTACTGCAACACTTGCGTAGATATCACCATGGTAAGCTGACTCTTTCTCTCCCGATTTTGGTAGAGAAGATGCTGGTTTGTTAATGCGATTGCAAGATACATTAAGTTGGAATCCACATAGCCCCTTGTTTGCCATGAACGAGCTTGAATCGAAGGTATTAAATTGTTTGCCTTGTGGAATCCTTCCAACCAGATGGTTGTATGATAAGTTTAAGGAGGACAGGAAGGTTAAGCTCTCTAGCTGCTCTGGGATGTTTCCTGTTAGGCTGTTGAATGACAGGTCCAGTGCTTCCAAAGATTTCAAGTTTTCAAGAGAGGGAGGAATATTGCCTGTCAGTGCATTGTGGGAAATGTTAAGGAGATATAACATTTTAAGCTCACCAACAATCTCTGGTATACCCCCTTCAAATTGGTTACTTGAAAAATCAATAGAGGTGAAGATAGACAGAATTTTCTCTATAGTGTAACCTTGTCCTTTCAGAGAAAGTGAGACTGAGTCTTGATAATAAATGTAAGCATCTTCTTGAGATTTGAAGTGCAAGTAGCCAACCTTTGAATTTGCTGCATTCCCATCAACTAGGATAGCTTTTAGTTCCAAGAATAGATCAGCTGGTAGATTTCCACTAAAATTATTGGAGGATAAGTCAATGACTTGTAAGCTTGGCCAACTGCTGTTTACCCCAAGCTTGGGGCAAGAAATGCTTCCATGAAAATGATTCGAACGCAATACAAGTATGTGCAGATTCGACAACTTATCGAGCCAGCAAGGAAATGTATCACTTACTCTATTGTTTCCAAGATTTAAAACCTTAAGCTCTGTGCAATTGACCAATGATGGAGGAAGCTGGCCTTGTAACAAATTTTGACTGACATCCAATGTCTCTAAAGAACAACTCTGAAGAAAATCCTGTGGTATCTCACCACTTAAATGGTTTCCTTTAAGATTCATAACAGCGAGTTTGGTGTTATTTTGAACCAGACATGGTGGTATTGTGCCATGCAAAGCGTTGTTGGACAAGTCAAGCACTTCAAGTTGGTTTGCATGGCACCATGAAAGTGGGATGGTTCCACTAACTCTATTGTTTGCAATGGAAAAGAAGGTGACATTTGGGAGTTGATGACCAATATCAAGAGGTAGGGAGGAAAAACTGTTGTTGGAGAGGTCCAAGTACCAGGCCACATGCGGTGGTCGTGGAATTTGTCCACTAAACATATTAGAATTTAGATCAAGGTAATAAAGAGAACCATACTCCTTTGGCTCTTGCATGTTGTCAAGGAGATTGTGAGAAAGATTGAGAAAAACGAGATTTCGAGTACCAATTTCAAATATCCATTCAGGAATTTCTCCACTTATAGCGTTGCTGGAGAGATCTAACATCTGGAGTTGAGATTGGTTTTTCAAAAAATCCGGAAATTTCTGTAGATTGCAAGAAGCTAAATATAAAACTCGAAATTCCGGGAGGAGGGAAAGTTCTGCTGCTCTTATGTTTGTCTCAACTGCCAAGCTATTATGGGAGATGTCAAGAATCCAAATATTCTCAGGGTTTTTGAATTTAGTTAGATGTGCAATACCATTAAATTTGTTTGATGAAAGATGGAGTGATGATAGATTCTGAAGTTGAAAGAAGAACAAAGGTATTGGGCCCTCCAAGTTGTTGTTACTCAAATCAAGATATTGCAGTGGAGAAGTCACATTTTGCAAATCAATTATATGACCAGAAAATTTGTTTGATGAAAGAGAGAGAACTGTAAGATTGTGAAGGCGAAAGAAGAAGGAAGGTATTGAGCCTTCCAGGTTGTTGCCACTCAAATGAAGATATTGCAGTGGAGAAGTCACATTTCGCAATTCGTTTATATGACCAGAAAATTTGTTTTCGGACAGAGATATGGTTGTAAGGGATGGCAGGAAAAACAATGAGACTGGGATGGGTCCTGAAAATGAATTCCCATCCAAGTTCAGATTTTCAAGATGGTTAAGGCCATCCCAATGAGAGGAGGGAATTTCACCTATAAAATCGTTATAAGAAAGATCTATTTCAGTCAAGTTCTTAAACAACTTAAATGGTGGAACCCAACCACTGAAGTGATTCCCAACCAATCTCAGCTCAACAAGATTGGTAAGCTTTGTAATAGAAGCAGGGATTGCCCCACTTAAACTGCAACCTGTAAGGTCAATTTGGGACAGCAGTCTGAGGTTTCCAATGGACTCAGGTAATCTCCCAGAAAACTTTGTATTACCAAGTTGTAGTCTCTGAAGAGATCCATTTTCTGGAAAGTAGTCTGGCAAAGAACCCTCAAGCATTTTATTCCATGTTAAATTAATGGTTTGCAGAGTAGGTACCTGGAATACTTTGTGAGGGACTGTTCCTGTGAAGTTGCAGCTCTCCAGGCTCAAAACAGTCAGATTAGTGAAATCCGAGAACAAGTCTGGAAATGGAGCAGAAAAGTTGACCCAATCAAGCCTAATAACAGAAAGGGATGGCAAGAGTTTAAGCAAGAAAATTGCATTGACTCCACCCGTGATTGGCTCATAGCTGAGGTCAAGACCAATAGTATATCCATCATCGTTGCAACTCACACCAGGCCACTGGCAGCAATCAACTCTTTCATCCCACAACACCAATTTGAAGGATAATGAAGAGTTGTAAGAAAGTTGGCTTCGTATCTTCACAAGTACAGCCTTTTGATCCGGAAGACACTCACCCAATCCATACATAACATTTATTCTCAATATATCTGAGAAAAGTACAACCATGGAAATCCAGGCAAACATCAGAATCTTCATTTGAGCTGCGCTGTATAATTTGTATACGCATATTAGAAACTATTGGCGAGTGGGTTAGTTGATATCTAACCCTTCTGTCTGAAAACATAAATAATAAGGCGGGCCATGCTCTTGTAAGGATCGAAAGCAAAGCTAATTTATTAACATTTATCTAACTTGCCAAGTCAATCAAGAAATTGTTCCCAAATTACGATCCAAACAACTATGTCGATCACGGCAAATTATGCTATGGACCGTGTCCACCATGTGCATGGTGGACACACTGTACATTCATAATTTCTATACTGTATATTCATAATTTTTAAACTGTAAATTTATAAAATTTATACTGTAGATTCATAATTTCTATACTGCACATTCATAATTTATGTACTGTATGAATCTACATTATAAATTTTATTAATCTACAGTATAGAAATTATGAATCTACAGTATAGAAATTATGAATCTATAGTACAGAAATTATGAATGTGCAGTATAGAAATTATGAATCTACAGTACAGAAATTATAAATGTGCAGTATAGAAATTATGAATCTACATTATAAATTTTATGAATCTACAGTATAGAAATTATAAATCTACAGTATAGAAATTATGAATCTACAATATAGAAATTATGAATGTACAGTATAGAAATTATGAATGTACAGCGCATGGTGGACACAGGTCCACAACATAACGCTCCGTCGATCACGGTTCAAAACGACGTCGTTGAATTTTATGAGTTAGAATTATGTACATTATGTGTTAAAATAATGAAACTTTTAAGGGTAAGATAATGTACTTTATGAATTAGAATAATGTATATCTAATTGAGTCTTCTATTAGGATATCTTGATAATTTTCCTCTATTAGTAACCAATTTAGTCTTCGATTATAATGATTTTATCCAATCATGTACATCTTTTTTATACAATTATGTACATCCGAAACAGGAAATTTATGTGTATTATGTTAAGAGTTGATGTTTATTATGTTAAAAGTTTATGTATATTATGTATTATGTTAGATTATATGTATTATCTTTTTTAAAAAACAGTATGTGTATTTTGTTATACAATTATGTACATTCATGTATACAATTATATGTATTCTAGTATAAAATTATGTATATTTTTTAACCTGAGATTTTTTTTTTTAAAAAAAATAAAAAATTAACCGCCAACACAGGGTAGCGAAATTTCAAAAAAAAAAATTCAGAACGACGTCGGTTTGCATCAGGACGCACAATGCAATGCGCGCCCTAGTGCAGGATATAGTTGCTGCGAATAACCTACTCTTGCCCGAATTGGGCTATGGGTTATATAGCCTGCGCGCCATCCGACCAGCTGGCAAAAGGAGAATCCGACCAACTAGTGCATAACAGTTAATAAACAAACATATTTCCACAACCAGCTAATGATATCAACTAGTCAAACTCACTAACTCAATTCCCTAATAGCTATTTGCCAAACATCCCTAGTTTTAATATCTATCTCATGTTATCATGTGTGTAAGAATATAATAAGCAAAAAAAAAAAAAAAACAAAAAAAAAAAGAAGAAGAAGAAGAAGAAGCAGCTAAGATAGATGATCTGATCGAGGTTAAGTTACTGTAAGCTTGCAAGAAAACACAAATGGGAAAACTTCTAAAAAGGCTTAACCCCAACCCCGGCCCGACAAAACATTTGGGAGGGTGTAAATCATGGTGATTCAACTGAACATGAACCATAAATGCTAGACCTTTTTGCTCACTGCGCACAAGGAGCCCCCCTCATTTTGAGAGGTTGTGGTAGGTTGCTCCCACACTGCCGCTGGTGAGACTCGATCCCTGGTCATTCTTCTAAAGTTTCACATCTATGACTAGTTGAGCTACCCATGCGGGCCAAATGGAAAAACTTAAGTTTATGAATTATGGCCAAAAACCTTATGGTTAAGTGGCATGAAGTCACTCTCTCAAATGCAATGTTATAAGTTCGAGTTTCAGTGGAAGTGATATTGACTCGTTAAGTTTCAATATGTTGAGAAAGTATATATGAAGATATACTACATAACAAAGTCTATAGTATTAAAAAAAGTTTACAACAATTTCTAAATTTCTATTTTTCTAAGATTACGTCTTAAAACTCATTTTCAAATATATGTACCTCAACTACTACCAGTAATTTTTAGGCCAAAAGCGCTAGCAATAGAATATGTCAAACCATGAGGTACCATGCATATAATAATAAGTACATTAAAACAATGCTTAATATAATTTATTATTGAAGTGTATTTTATACACTATTAACTGCTACTTATTATTATAAAGCATATACAGTACGTACGTTCTTAGATGTGCAATGGATAAATTTTTATATCCATCTCATGCTACCATCTATTGAAGTGTATAGTATTTCTATCATATAATATTAAATAAATAAAACAATGATTAATAAATTATTATTGATTTCTACCATATAATAATAATATATATTATGAGTTATAAAAATATATGTTGCAGTGGATCGCGTAAAAAAGAATTACGTTGGATCTATTACATTGTAGTATCTGTTCAAACATACTGAGGCTCAATCTCATGACCTCCCACATAAGAGAGGCCACTACATATCATCTGAGCACAAGGTATTTGGCTTTGTTTGGGTACATTAATTTAATTGTTATCTACTAAATATAAATGGAAAAGTAAAAAAAAATTAAAGGTGATAACTTTGGAAATGTTTTATTATTGTACGTTGAATAATTCAAAATATATAAGTTATCAATTCACATTATTATTACACAAATATAATTTTTATTCCCGTTATAACCTTTGTTAGGAAAATAAAATATTTTGTATATTTTGTACGTGCCTCAAATCCACAAGTGTCCACGTCGCATGCAACATTAAGGAGCTTCTTGCACGTTCCCGAGCATTGTGGCTGTTCACATGATTGCCGCATAATTCTAGTCTCATTATTGTATAAATAGGTTGTTTAGCCTTGTAGTTAATCACTCATTCAGACATCAATTAGAATTGATTCTTCTTCTTTCTTCTTTCTTTTGTCTTCTTTCACGTAGACATACTTATATATATATATATATATATATATATATATATATATATATATATATTTGTTTTCCTTATTATTCTCTTTTTAGAGATTAACAAATATATATATTTATATTTTCCCTTTGTTAATTATTTATTTGTCATTTTATATAATTTTCTTCATTTATATATTTTCCCTATTATTTAACTTCTATAATTCTCAATTTTCGATTCTTCGCTTCCGCATTATTCCGCTATATTCCTAACAAGTGGTATCAAAACAGTTTAATTGAGAGTTATTTTCAAAGATGTCGACTGTTACCAAGTTCGATATCGAGAAGTTCGACGGGAAAATTAGTTTTTCTATCTGGAAGGTTCAGATGGAAGCCGTTCTAACCCAGAACGGTTTGAAGAAAGCGCTAGCTGGGAAGAAGAAGAAACCGGCTACAATGACAGATGAAACTTGGGAAGATTTGGATGACAAGGCACGTTCAACCATTCTTTTGTGTGTCTAAAGAGGTTCTACGTGACGTAGTAAGTGAGACGACTGCGTCAGATTTATGGTCCAAGCTGGATACGCTTTACATGGCCAAAACTCTGGCGAACACGCTGCGTTTGAAGGAGCGTTTGTACACAATCCGTATGACGGAAGGTACTTCTATTAAATCTCACTTGGATGAATTCAATTCTGTTTTATTGGACTTGGAAAATATTGATGTCATAATTGAAGATGAGGATCGCGCTGTTTTATTGCTTGTTTCTCTCTCTAGATCATACAAGCATTTCAAAGAAATTATGCTGTATGGTAATAGTAGTGATACCCTTACTTTCGACAATGTTAAGTCAAACCTATTGTCCAAAGAAAAGTTTGACTTTGAAATTAAGTCTGAGGACAAAGGTGAAGGCTTGACTGTAAGGGGTCATTCACTTGAAACAGAGAGTAGCAATAAAAAATCTAGATCCAAGTCCAACAAATCCTGTAAGTACTGCAAGAAGCATGGTCATGATGTGACTGAATGCTTCAAGTTGAAAAACAAGCAAGAGAGAGAAAAGAAGTCCGTTGAAGCTAGTGTTGTTGAAAGTGATTCAGATGGTGATGTGTTGTTATCTGTTAGCTCCGGTGAGAAAACGGAGTGAAACCGAGTGGATTTTGGACTCTGGTTGTACATTCCACATGTGTCCCCACAAAGATTGATTCATTTCTCTGGAACCGGTTGATGGTGGAGTTGTCTTGTTGGGTAATGATACCCAATGCAAGGTTAGTGGAATTGGAAGTGTTCAGATTAAAACTCATGATAACGTTGTCAGGACACTTGCCAATGTTCGGTATGTTCCTGATTTGAAACGCAATTTGATATCCTTGGGAACCTTGGAAAGTCTGGGGTGCAAGTACATAGCTGAAGGTGGAGTTCTGAAAGTCATAAAAGGCTCTCTTATTCTCATGAAAGCTTCTCGTTCTGGAAGCTTATACATCTTGCATGGCAGTACTGTGACAGGTTCAGTAGCAGTATCCTCATCGATGTTTGATGCATCTACTAGCACCGCAGCTCTCGTCGAGCCACAACGAGAGTATTCCATTGCTATGGATCGTCTTAGGAGGACAATTAAAAAACCTGCTAGGTATGCTAGTGATGATGAAACCAACATGGTTGCTTATGCTCTTTCAGTCGCATAGGAAGTTGATGGTGATCCATCCTGCTATTCTGAAGCTTTTCCTATTGCTAAATTCGAGCGGTGCTTGGATTTAGTCGACTATTCCAGTTGTCAATTCACACAGTGGATTTGATCCAAGGTGGAGATCGTCAGGAAAATAAAATATTTTGTATATTTTGTACGTGCATCAAATCCACAAGTGTCCACGTCGCATGCAACATTAAGGAGCTTCTTGCACGTTCCCGAGCATTGCGGCTGTTCACATGATTGCCGCATAATTCTAGTTTCATTATTGTATAAATAGGTTGTTTAGCCTTGTAGTTAATCACTCATTCAGACATCAATTAGA